TTCCGCCTGGACGCTGACGGCGAGGGCCGGGCCAGAGGCGCCCTCTGATTGGCTTCTCGGGTGAATGGTTGCCTGGAGACGAGTAAATCTTCGGCGGTGGGACGGGGTGAGGGTGCCCGAGAAGGGCACTGCGCAGGCGCAATAGAGAGGGGCTGCGCTGACACCTCTTAACTTCGGAGTTGCTGGGACGCCCTCTGTCTCTACTTTCCACTGCGCTCTTCTCGGCCGTTCCTATCACCCAGCTCCCCCTCCGCCCCCCAGCTTCCCGCACCTCCGTCCCGCTCCCTCGCCGGCCCGTTTTCCTCCTGCTTCTCTGGAAGTTTCGCGTTGGTTCTCTCTTTGCAGGAGTGGGGGGAGTGGAACCCTCACGCCCGCCTCCGGGGTGTGTTTTGAAGTCGGAAAAAAAATTGTATGGTTTCTGAGCCGAGGGAGGCTTCCTGGTTCCCCAGGCAAATTGGCTGCAGGTCGTTGGGGAAGGAGGCGGCGCAGTTGGTTAACCACCTGTGCGCAGTGAGCGGGGCTCAGGGCCTCGATCGAGGAATCCCTCGCCAAGCCCAGCGGGCGCGGCAGCCCCAGCCCCATGCGGGCTGCATCTGGGCTCGCGCGTGTTAGGTAACACGCGGGCGGGGTTTGGACGCCACCCACTCAGTCCGCAGCGAGCGGTTTGGAGTCCAGGTTGTACAATCAATGAACCTGGGAAGGGATGTCCATTCATCACCTGACGATCTGCAAGGCCTGGAGCAACTAACTTCACCCACCCGCCCTCAGTCTCCAACTCCTCACCTGGACGTGGGACTGACACGGGAACCGCGTGGTAGGGTTACCTAAGTCTTAAATAAGAAAAGGGGAAGCTCGCCGCGCATGCCGCATATCAGGTGTGTGGTCCGCGTTATTGATATAAAATAGTAACTGTTGTTGATCCATAAGCATTTATAGAGCTTGTACTGATGGGAGAAAAGATTACTTCTCGGAGGCGGTATTTCCGTGCCGGCCCCTCCCACTGCCGCCTGAAATGAATATGCGCTCCGTGTCTGCCTGGACAAACAGGGTTCTCACATACATGCCTTCCCTGGGAGGGACGGCTCCTGAAACGTTAAGGAGAGAGGAGACCAGTAGGAGTGCCTGTAGAAAAAGCCAGCGACTGTTGTAGGACATGTAGGTGATATGGTCTATGTGGGTTGTTTTTTGTTTTTTACTTTCAGTTTTTGAGGTATAAATTCAGTAACGTGCACAAAGCTTATGCGTACAGAATAATGAATTTCTACATATGTGTGCACCCATGTAACCGCCACCCAGATCAGGACATTGGCACTCTCCAGCTTCCTCGTGCCCCTTCCCATCCAGTGTCCCACGAGGGTAACCACTGTTCTGACCTCTATCGCCATATCTTAGTTTTACCAATATTTGAAATTGATATGGGTGACTTACACAGTGTGTGTACTTTTAGGTCTGGCTTCTTACACTCACTAGTGTGTCTATGAAATGTGTCCATGTTGTTGCAGGGAGCAGTGGCTCATTCCTTTCCAATGCAGTGTATTATCCCATTAAGCAAATATTCAGCAACTCATGTACTCATTCTACTGGTGGATGTGTGGTTTTGCCTATCACGACTGAAGCTGCTTACAAATAATCTTTTTTTTTTCCAGTTTGAGGTATATTTAACAAATAAAAACTGTATATATTTAAAGTGCACTACATGATGTTTTGATAGTGTGAATTGATCACCACAACCAAGCTATTAACACATCCATCATCTCACATAGTTACCGTGTGTGTGTGTGTGTGTGTGCTGAGAATGCTTGAGACCAACTCTCTTAGCCTTACAAATAATTCTTTTTTTTTCCAGTTTGAGGTATATTTAACAAATAAAAACTGTATATATTTAAAGTGCACTACATGATGTTTTGATAGTGTGAATTGATCACCACAACCAAGCTATTAACACATCCATCATCTCACATAGTTACCGTGTGTGTGTGTGTGTGTGTGTTGAGAATGCTTAAGACCAACTCTCTTAGGAAATTTCAAGTAGATAATACAATGTTATTAGCTATAATCACTATGCTATATATTAGATCCCCACAACTATTCATCCTATGTTTATACCCAGGATTGAATTGTAGAATTATAGAGTATACACATATTAAGCTTTAAATAGACTGCTAAACAGTTTCCCAAAGAGGTATAACAATTCATATTCCAGCCAGTGATATGAGATTTCCAGTTGCTCCACAGCTTTGCCTGGTATGGTCAGTTTGTTTACTTTAAAAAAGGGGGTGTGGATTCCATTGGGATTTAAATTTACATTTCTCTAATAATAATATTGAGATTATTAATAATATTCAGATGCTTATTGGCCATTTTGATATCCTTTCAGTGAAATGTCTGTTTAGGTCTTTTGCCATTTTCGGGGGGGTTGTCTGTCATACTGATCTATGTGTCCTTTGTCCAATACATGTATTACAGATATCTTCTCCCAGTCTGTGGCTTCCTTTTAATTCTCTTAATGTTATCTTTTGATGTACAGAATTTCTTAATTTTAAAAAAATCTAATTAATCTTATTTTTATGAGTAGTGCTTTTTATGTCCTGTTTAAAAAAAAATCTTTGTCCTAGGAACTTGATTGTTTTAGCCTTCACATTTAGGTCTGATTCCTCTCAGATTAATTTTTTGTGCAGCTTGGGGTCAAAATTTATTTTTCCCTCATGGATATACAGTTTAGTTCAGCACCAACAACACGTAGTTTTGTTGAATGAATGAATGAATGAATGAATGAATGAGTGAATTGCTAAAAAATGCAGTTAGGAGTGACTGATTACTTAAAATGCAGATTGTCCAAAAAATCCAGCATACACAACCACCTTGGAATGAATGCAGATTATTATATTCCGTTGGCCTTTGGGCCATTTCTACCTTTTCAGTGCCTCATGGATGCCATTAGCACAGGTAGCCTCAGGGGAGAACACAGGTCAGAAATTCTTACCTAGAATTTGATCTAGCAGGGGTTGGTCAGTTCTACCTTTTTCTGGATAAAATTTTGTCCAGCTTCCTGACCATTAGGCAATTTTGTGGTAAGTAAGAAGGGAGAGCCACGAGCCAGAAAAGAAATTCATTATTCATATGTGTGTATACATTTATCTTTGGGCCCTTTTTTATTTCTGGGGCATGACGACTTTTCTAGAATTTTGTTTCTATTTGTGTGTGTGTATGTGTGTGTGTGTTGTTTTTTAAAATACACAGTGTTCTTTCTACCTCATAAAACTGTGGCACCCTGTGCGGGGAGTTTCAGGAAGTCGCCAGGTACTGCCCACTGGCCGTGGAACCACGTATTGAAACTGTCCTTCTGGGGTTATCGAAGCCTCCTTCTTGCCCCATTCTGGCCTCAGCTGGAGCACATCCCATCAAAATGGTTTCAAGACCTTCGCACTCTGAGTGCTGCTTTGATCTGCAGCTGCTTTGATCTGCACCTAGGATTGCCGAGGAAAGAAAAGCAAAGGCGGGAAAGTCTTCAAAATGCAGGTTGTGCCTCACGACCCTGAAAAAATGTTATGTCTCAATAGAATCTTATTTAACTCCATGGGGAAGCAAAAAAAAAGAGTTTCTATTAATCCTTTTTGTAAGGCAAGAAAAACCTCTTGTTTAGTGCCCAGCTATCCTCACTGACCAGTTTCTTTAAGTCTGGAGTTTTTGTATTACTTTAGGTGGATCACCATGCTAAGTGTTTATTAAAATGCCCTGGTCCGAAGATCTTTTTAAAAATGATTTTTAAGCAAAGTTTTTTATTGCTCTACATTGCCATATAGAGCATGGCATCCAGATCATAAGAGCACAGCTCAACGATTTCCACAAACCGAACAAACCTGTGTCCTGAAGCAGCAGCGCAGGCCGTGCGGCCCTGCCTGGAGCCTCCACGGGGCACTGTCCCCTGAGCCAGGCTCCGGTGGGCGAGGCGGGGCCTGCTTTCCGCTCCATCTGGAAGTCCCAGCAGTGAATCCCGGTCTCTTCTCGGGCTTCTTCCGGCCACTGTTCTTCTTGGGTGGTACAGAAAGAACACTCGTTTTGGAGTAAAAAAGTGTAAGTTTTTTTTTTTTAAATGTATCATTTTATTGATTTCAGAGAGGAAGGGAGAGGAGAGAGAAGCATCAATGATAAGAATCACGGATCGGCTGCCTCCTGTACGCCCCCTGCTGGGTAACCAGCCTGCAACCCAGGCATATGCCCGGACCAGGAATCGAACTGTGACCTCCTGGTTCACAGGTCGATGCTCAACCACTGAGTCACGCCGGCCAGGGGAAAGGCGTAAGTTTTATTTGGAGCAAAGCACAGAAGGAATGAACCAAGGACTGGTCAGACCTGATGGGCAGGGAGGGGGAAGTGGGCTCGATCTTTGGGGCAGTTCTGACAGTAGACACACTGGGGCACCAGGGCATCAGGAAGGGAGGAAGATCAGGGTCGAGAAAGGGGAGAAGGCGATGGTGGCACTGCCGGAGGAAAGAGGGTGGGTGCTGAAGATGCTGAGGGATGTCTCTGGACCCACTTCCTGCCCACCTCCCTAAGGGTGTCGCTGGAGGAAGGGGGAGGTTGGGTCAGATGGCTTGCATCCCTGTCAAATGGCTTCCCGATCTGAGTCTCGGCTTCCTCATCCCAAACGGGAACGGTCATTAGCCTCCCTGCTCCACGGAGGTGTGTGCTGGTCACACGAGGTAGTGACCCCTGCGCAGGCCCTGGCCCCATGCACACAGGAGCTCCCTTCGCCAAACGGGGCCCTTTCTCATGTTACTGTCAGGACAGCTTGGCAAGCAGGTGGCGGAGAGGAGGGGAGGGTGAATGCCCCACACCTTGCTGTGGCGACTGACTGTCACTGCAGAGGCCCCAGGTTTCTTATCTGAGGATTAATGCTTTCAAATCTCCCTTCAGGGAAAAGAGTTTCCGTGGCTGTGTAAATTGTTAACGGTTCACTTCATATCTGTGACCAACCCTGGGGCCACTCTGAACCTGCCTTACATTGAGGTCCCGGATGTCTCTCCCCAGCTGCCAAAATGCCCAAAACTCCCCCCACCCCCACGTCCATGTCTGCTGGAGAACAGACCTGGTGCCCACCCCCTCCGCCCTCCCAACTGGCCAGAGGGCTAGCATGCCCCCCCAGGAACAGCGCACTCACCTACCAGGTGTACTGCTCAATGCTCAAATTTATCTTCAGTCCTCAGCTCAGCCTGAATATTTAGTTGCAATTCATCAAAAACGACTCTGGAAGATTTACACAAAATGGGATTTCTTTAAAAGCTACTGGCAAGCCCAGAGAATCAGCAGGACTGCCGGAGAACAGGGCCACACCACCACAGCCACCACCTGTTGACTGAGTCTTTGTGTCCCTGCTTATTCCCACCGCTAACTTCTGATTCAAAATCTGGATGGGGACCGTCTCTCAGCAGAGCCCAAGCCCCGCTTGCAAAGAAGGTTCAGGAACAGGTTCCCTGGCGCTTTCAGCTTTAACGCCAGGAAGGGGCTCTAGCCCAACAGCAAAGCAAGTTTAGATGGAGGTCTGAACACACGCCTCTTCCTTCCAGCCCCTGCACCCATCCCTGCGAGCACTGCTTCAGCCAATCAGTATCTTTGATGCATCTACCTCGGGGTCACAGACGCAGGCATGTTTCTGAGGCCTACACGTTAGGGGACCAGGAAATGGATTCTTTTTTTTTTTTTAATATATTTTATTGATTTTTTACAGAGAGGAAGGGAGAGGGATAGACAGTTAGAAACATCAATGAGAGAGAAACATTGATCAGCTGCCTCCTGCACACCCCCGACTGGGAATGTGCCCGCAACCAAGGTACATTCCCTTGACCAGAATCAAACCTGGGACCCTTCAGTCCACTTGCCGATGCTCTATCCACTGAGCCAAACCGGTCAGGGCAGGAAATGGGTTCTTGAGAAGCGTCGAGGATGGAGACGCAGGTCCTTGGCCAGGTGACACTTTTACGGCCAAGTGACACTTGGCCAGGTGACACTTTTCCTCCAAGTTTCTTAGAACAGACACCGAGTGGATGTTTGGTGGAAGAAAGAAAAAGAAAACAAGAAAGGAAGAGGCCTTGGGTAACGTCACCACTCCCCCAACCCCTAGTCTAGGCTTCGCTTCAAGCTCTGTGTTATATTAGCCGCTGCTCTGAGCCTCAGTTTCCCATCTTTTTTTTTTTTTTTAAGGACCTGGCCTGGTTCACCCCCAGCACCTATGGCTCCGGCAGGGGCGGGAAGGAGGGGAGGGTGCGTGGCTGTGCATCTCCATGCACCCTGGGGTTGGCTGCCTGTAATGACAGTGTCCCAGAGCTGAGCTTGTGTAACAGGCGGATATACTGAGTGGGGCCGACTGTTTGCTCAGCAGCCGAGAGGTCTATAATTAGACTGTCACAACCTCAGCAAAAGTACGGGATCAATGTAATCAGAGAAGAAATGGAAAAGAACACGGCATCAGTCAAGGCCTCCAGCGGGTCCCCGCAGTTTCCGGAGCACTAATCGCACAGGCGGGGCCCAAGTCCCGCTGTGGGTTTCCTCCTGGTGATGACCGGCTTGGTTTGGGCCCATCCTGATGCCCCTCTCAGCCACCAGCTCTCCTCGCCTCCCCCTTCTCCCTCCTCTGCTCACGGAGTCTTAGCCATGAGAGTCCAAAGGAGGCGGGTCGCACCCGCTCAGTGGCGAGGCCCCTCCAGTCCTCACCTGTGCATGTGGGGGTGAAGGCTCCCCTGGGAGTGGCTGGGAACCGAGACCCCAGGTGGGGAGCTGACCTCACAGCGCCCAGGACCTGAGGGCCACGGTGATCCAAGCGCTCATTTTTCTCAATGTCCTCTCGGCACCATATTAGTGATTCCTAACCATTCATGAGATTTGGCTACTGTCCCTTCCAGCGTCTCCTCTCACCACAAATTTGCAACTCCTTTGCCATCTAAAATTCAAACTCCCAGAGGGGACTTGGCACCAGCGACTCTGTGGACATGTGCTTACCCCTCAGGTGGCTTCTAGGTTGGGACCACAGATCACAGGTGCTCAAGGGACAGCAGAGGGGGGCCAAGAGCCTGAGGCCTCCGGGG